CACACACACACACACACACACACACACACACACAATATGCAACAGTTAAACCAGCTCCCAGGGTCTTACACACTGCACTGCACTGACTGGGGTTGAAGCCACCCACCACTCCTGTCCAGTGAGAGGTGTCTTCAGAGTGACAGCATCTGTCCACTGGGCTGCTCTTCCCCAGGTTGTCTTAGCCCTGCTCTCTTCTCCATCCCTCAGTGTGGACCACATGTCACGCTGTTCTTTTATCCCCCTCAGAGGCTCTGCCCCCAGGGATCGATCCCTGGTGATAGCACACCATGATGACCAATTAATTTCTAGCCATAGAATATAGTGATTCACAGCAGCACAGAATGTCAGCATTCCAAGAACCTGCTAATTTTTGGGAGGTTGTTACCCGATATTCTGCAGTGCAGATCAGCAGTATCACAGAATTCCTACTCCTGCTGCCAGACTGTTTATATCCTATGTAAGAGATGTTGGTTGGAAGAGAAGCTGCACATTTCCTTATATCCCATTACTAGCTGCTGAGTCCTATTATCAGTGGCATTTTTTCAGAACATGGTGAAAAGAAAGACAAAGAGTCCCCTGGTTCCTACTTGCAAACAAAGATGACTGCCACTTCTAAGACAGAAGTTTGCACATTTTAACTATACATCTGTTGTCACCACCCCACACCCACCATTTTCTTTTAAATCTACAGCTGATACAAACTGTTTAGTACTCCTCTGTTATAGTCTCAAATAACTTCTGAATATATTTAAAGAATTCTCCTGCCTTTCTTCTTTAGCTAGAATAAACAATTGTCATTCAGTCTTTGGACTACTCCAAAAATTAATACTATGCACTTGTGTCACACCTCACTAGTGATTCAATAGTTGAAGTTTTCCCCTGGCTGGCATGCCCTGGTGAGTGGTAAGGACTGGAATATATTGCTGTGGTGGGAACAAAGATCTTGTGGTGTTTTCATAACAGTATAGTGATTAAATGTTGTGCTTTGGCCAATCCTCTCTGATAGTCTGCCTACCAGAATTCCTAAATGAGGTTGAGTTTGTTAATGTCCTTTGAAAGCTTGTATTATTACCGAGTTATTCTATTAACTCACAAGAATACTTTAATTCCTGGCCGAGGAACGGGAGGAGGCTCCTTAAAAATAGAGGATAATGAAGTCCCTGGTCCTACACAGTTGAAAGTTAAGCACTGAGAAATGTAATACCGTATAAAGAAGAAGTAGCAAAAGTTACGGTTCTAGTTTGATGAATAGTTAGGCAATATCACTTTAAGCTTGCAAGCTAGAGCTCTACACACAGAAGAAAATTACAGTACAAAAGGAACTTCTAAGAGAAATTTCACTTCTCTTTTCCATTGTTAATCGAATTATATGCTGGGTTTGTTACGTTTCAATTACCTTTTATCTGGTTCATTCTCCAGACCAGATTTGCTTAATGATTATGCAAGGAAACGTTTAATTTGCTCTATCTGCAGTTTTGAAGCTTCAGTAAAGTCCTCTGCATCAATACACTGTGCTTGGTCACATTCTGTACATTTCCTCATGTTAACTGGCAAACATTAATTCAGTATGCAGGTATATTTTAAAAGTTACCCTTTGTTTTATCAAATGCAACACTAATACCATGGTTATGACCTTTCATCTAAAGAGAGAGCCTACTTCAAAGCTGAGCCACAACAGCCCTGGCTGGCATATTAACCAACATCAGAAATTAAAGTTGTAATCAGTGAGGAAAAAAGTAAATATGAGGTAAATTTGCTTGTTGAATAGCTATTATGCAAAAATCTGAACCAACATAAAGTACATAACAATTATTTTTGTTTTCACTTGAAGCTCTAAATTGTGTTGGATGCAGCTAATTATAGTATAGTTCTTTGAACAGAGAACAACACTGGTATACAGGAGTGTTTCTATTAATCATCAGTTCTTGACAGAGGCTTCAGAAGCCTGTTTATAAAATGTTCATTAGTATCTAATAGAAGAATATTAAATCTATAAGAAAGGGTTTCATTTATCCCAATGGGAACTTCCCATCCATTGCTATTTTTGAAGATATAATGAAATGGCATCATGTAGTATCTTGGCACAGTCTTAAATAATGCAGGAGAAGTCTGAGTGGGGGATCGTATATGATCTAATGCTCTTTTGTGGAGACTGAGGTTAGCAGAACTGGAATTCTTAACCATCTCCAAAAAG